TCCAGAGTATAGATGAGTGGGAGCAAGCAGGGCAAGAATGCTAGCCACATTAATGCATTTTACCCCAATGTGTAAATTAACATTCATAATGAATTCAGACTTAATAAGCTCTATGTGCTAAAGCAATTACTGAACTTTTACTGGACAGAACCAACATTTAAGATAAATTTGAAACTTAACTAAACTGAAACCTTTAATAATATTGTATGACTTCCGAGATTGTATCTTATTATTCATCTATGAACTAAAAGGATAATTTTGGCAGATTGAATTATCCTCCCAATCTGTACTTGTTGCACATACTCCAGATCTGCTTTGCAGGTTGTAGGCTAGGAAGAGAGTGAAGGAGAGAACAACAAGGGGAACTTGTTATACAAACTGAAGACCGTTCATGTAGTGCTGTACACAGCTATCTTTCATACAGTTTAGTTAGAACTATAAAAACACTAAAGAATGTTTAAGCTGAAAACTAATCTGCTTGCTATCCTGGTTAAATCTGTTAAACTATAGCTTATTATCAAAATCTTAAGGTTCCTTTGGAAGATGCTGAAGGGAATTTAACTTTCAATTTAGTAAACAAATGCATTCAATTGGTTAAAACAGAAATCAACCTGAATGGTTTTCATTCTGTTACAGAAAACATCAGAATCAAAATAGCCTCAATTATACAACAATAATTAATGATTCCATTATTTAATAATTGATCCTCCTAGTTAATTACAAAAAAGAAAAACAGAACAAAATTAGCTATCATCTTGACTTTTCCTTAGCTGTATTTATGCTTGCAGTTTATTACACTGTATTAAATCATTACTAATAATGCACAAATAGAAAACAGACTGTTTGCTTCATCTTAATTTGGTGATTCTCAAAAGGATCATAAACTGAGACTGCTCACTTCTATACCTGCTTCCCCCTCTACTCTAACAGCTAAATTTGAAAATTATACTGCAAGTCAGAATTAAACATATTGGTTTGGACAGTTTTCCATTCAATTTGGAAAGTAAAGGATAAAACACAAGCTGGATTCAGACATTGCCATAAACCATAATCTGTGGAATAAGCTACACATGGCTAAGTTCAGACATCACACTATGCCATAAACCTTGAATTACAATTCAGGATGGCTGGTTCACAACACTGTAGATGCTAAATAACAAACCAACCCCATTATGCCTTAGCACAACAAGTGAACCCACCCATATCTGTTTCAATAGCTAACGATAATGGTGAGTAATGAAAAAGAAACTGTGAGTAAGAGGGGAGCAAGCATTTAAGCCAATACCATTCGATACCTTAAATGATGATCTGAATTGAACCATAATTAATACCTACATCTCAGAATTATTAACTAGCCTTATAAATTGTCAGCAGTTCTGCGAGAGTATACCCATTCTTATTTGATTAGCATTTTTTTCAATCCAACAGATACCAGTGGTCAGGTTAAGCATAAATTTGTTTCCCTTGAAGATAAGGCTTCAAAAAGTTTAGTATGGATGAATTGTACCAGGACTTGTAGCTTCTCCTTGTAAGATGGTACATATTACACATCATATTTGACAGAATATGGCAGATGCTGAGAAAGTGTTTCCTTCCTGACAGAAATAAGTCACTAGAAAAAGGATAGTTAAGAATTGTTTGTCACAAAATGAGCCATTAAACTGCACTCCACAACATGAGTAGCACTAATAGTATAACTACCGTCACTGTAGTAAACCCAGTTCCCATTAACATAACATAACATTAGTTATGTTAGACTATTTTGTAAGAAAAAGGTAAAGTGCCACTTTTCCCCAGAGTTCTCTCAACAATCCACAGAATAACATTACTCTTTGGTTATTCATTATCTACTTGATATGTTTAGCTGTCCTGTACTTAGTACCCAAATAACAACCTGCTTAGCTATTGCAAAAAAGAGACACGCAGAGTTTTGCAACCAGACAAAATATCGGACAGACCCCCATTACACCTTGGAAAAATAATTTCTGAAATTGTTCCTCGGCCAGTCTACTCTCCTCTCCGATAATGAACTGCACCTATTGCAGTTCCCTTTCCCCACAGCTCTTAATCCCACATCTCCACTCCGTTTTGCTTCGATCGCTTTGTTCCCTCAGCAGAAAACACTGTTTCTCCTCTGCTCCAGTAACGCTGTTCTATTCTAGGCTGACTTCTTACCCCTCCCGACCCCTTCCCCGTACGCGCTGCCCAAAAGACCTTCCCGGGGACGCAAGCGCGCGCCAGAAGCACAGGATCAGCCCGGGGCTGGGCGCAGAGCGCCCACCAGTACCTGCGAGCCTCGCTGCTCTTGCCAGTGTTTCAGCTGCTCCATAGCACAATCTCGATTGCCGGCCATTTTGGGAGACTCAGAGACCCCAACCCTAAAAAAATGGAACGCTGTCGGCTGGGAAGCGCTTATCTCAAAGATGCTTATTGCAAAGAAGAGAGCGAGCTCCCCAATCTGCAGCGCTCCCAACCACCACCGTTACCAGCCAGCTGCAACTGCCTATGAAAGCCAGCTGGTGAAAGTTCAACGCCACCGCCCCTGTGATCCCGCCCCTTCCTTCCCTCATTGGTTAGGGGCTCCATCACAAAGCTCTTTCTCGGATGCTTATTGGATGGAGAGTCGGATAACTGATAAATATTTTTGGTGCGAGGTGGGCGGGGCTTGCCGAAGAATGTTCGGAGAAGGGGCAGCTCGCGGACCATGAGGAGGAACGTGGAAGGGGCACGGAGGTGGGACAGCAAAGGCGACCAATCTGGTGGGGCGACATTCGGGCACGTTATTATTCGCATTTCTGTCCGCATTTGTCAGGTAAATGTGCACAGCAGCCTCCCTGAACTTGGCGCTCGCCTATTGTGTTGGAACTAAAGCTTCCAAAATTCCCAACATAATATGTAGTACTTCTCATCTTCGTGGAATTCAATCTTCACTGCCCAGAAGGAAGCCACAACTTTGTTTCCTTCCTTCCGGAAGAGCCTGTTGAGCCTGAACCCTCCTGAGAGGAACGGTAAGAACTCATTCTGCTTCTGGAATACTCTGGATGTGAACTATCTTCTCACGCATGTGGACAACTGGCTCCTACACTGAACTAAAGCTCAGTTCACACATCACACCGCACTAAAATCAAACAAAGCAGAGTATGGCACAGCAATTCAGAATGTGTTGTGATTCTAGCCAGAGGGTGAATAAATGAGAAGGCAGGCTGCTGCGATGACTGCAGTGCTTATTTCTGGAGGAAAAAAAACCGTTGCTTTGTTCTGTTCTTCCTCCTTAGTTAGATGCATTTTAGAGAATGCTGTAGTGGGAACTGAGCCAATGATCTCACTCTTCTACACAGCACCCTTGAGTACATAAAGCTGGCCAAAGTGACAGTTCATACCATCCCTCTCTTTCAGCAGTACAGTATAAGGAAGTCCTTATCCTTGCTGTGCTGTCCACAGAAGGTAAGAAAAAGAGGCACAATTACAGACATTTCACTCTCTCCATATGTACCCTGCACCACTTGTCTCATGAACTAGGTGTAAGGGGTGAACAATGTAAGGTGATATACAGCACAATTGTGAAACAAAGCAAGGGATTCCATTCCTGCGCTCTACAGCTCAAATGTCCTGTAAGTGTTTTCCCCTGAGGAGAGTAGGTGTTGTGCTTCAGATTTCAGTGGTGCCAAGATCCTTGGCAGAAGACACAAGGTCCTGGAAAGTCTGAAGCTTCTGGCTTTTGGGAAAACTATCAGGCAAATGTAGGCCCACTGACTATAGAAGGACCTATAATTGGGGGAACCTCAAATGTATGCCCCTCCAGTCATTGTATTCAGCCTGTTCCTCAGGAGAGAGACAGCTGGAAGCAGGATAGCAGATTGATCTCATTGAGGTGTTAGAGATCTTCCCTCAAACTAGAAGGAGAGCATGGCTCCATGCCCAGATAAGGCAGGCCAAGAGGTGGTTATACTCTTACTCCTGCACTGGGGTGCCATCACAGCTCAGGCCAAGGCTTGGTAGCTCACCATTGATAGCACCACTAGCAGTGTGCAGTTAGAATGCTGGCCCATCTGCCTGGCCAAAGAGCCATTTCTTTGTAGCCCAAGATCTGCAATACCTATGAGATCAGGCAACTACTGCCTTATGGTGTGTGCAGTAAGTAAGGTGCTTTCTGTTCTGGGCTGCCAGCACCACCTCCTTCCTTCCTCTTTGCTTTATGAAATCACCCAGATTTTATTTTAGATCTCTGAAGATGCAGTTCTCTTTTCTCTTGATCTGCCAAACATGAAGACCATCAAGATAATTAATTAGCAATACTGTACATCAAAATTTCCAGCCCAAAACAGGTATCTGAGAAAGTATATTATTAAGAGATTTGCATCCTGATTAGGACATTTGAGAGGGGAAAGAGACTGGACCAATTTGGAATCCAGTACTTGAGTTTATGCTTAAATCTTACCCTTGTTTCAAAATCCCAAACCCAAACCTCCATGCTTCCCCATTAATTATAACTGGGGTATAAAAATACCAAATTCCAATTGTTTTTCCTGTGTGATATAGTGAATTTTATCCCATTTTAGCCTGTTTCCCATTAATAGTAATCAAGGAAATTGAGATAAATTTGCAGGAATTAAGCTGCTTTTGAGGGGATGATGACACATGCCAAATTGAAAACATTTTTTTCCCTTACAGAGCACTGCTAGCATCATTTTATTTATAGGCAAAAGTGGAAATAATTCTCAGGTACACTACTCTCGTCTGAGTTTATCCTATCAAATGATTATGCTCTAGAATTTTGTGTTGTTATTCAACAACCAAATATTGCTGTTTTGGTAAATGAAAATGCTACCAAGTAAAAACTGAAATGGTAAAAAGAGTAAAGATTGTTTTATTTAATACACTTATATTTAATAGCAGACCATGATACTCTTAATTTTTGATTGACTGAGACTTTTGTATCCATGTACAAAAAGCTCTCACTGTTGTGGCCCTCAGGCTGATGAACTAGTTCTTATGCAGCACTTGGGACAATTTGGTTTGAGACCCCCAAATTAACTTTTTTTTTCCCACTTCCCCCCTGAAAAAGCTCTGTTCTAGCAATTGTCTACAGATTGTTGCAGATATGTGGGTATACACAGGATAGTTTACATGATTACACCTTTTGCTTTTAAGCTGGCTTGAAAATGTGGTGTTTACTATGAAGCTTTATAAGTCTCCTATTGGCCTGTTATCTATAGATAACATCTATAGTTATGAATAAGCCCCATTATAGCTCATCTGATTTCATTACTAAATCTGTGCGAATTACTTGATGCATGATTCATCTATAAAACAAGTGTGTGCTAAAAGCACCTCATATTCAAGAGATTTAAGGGAGGACTGTAAAGCCAAATAGGGAATGCATAAAGAGTATATCACAATCCTAAGTAAATTTCAGTATTGGACTGTTAAAAAAAATGTTATCGAAAGCTCTGGTTGCCATTTAAATATTTCAAAGATAGGTAGATATCATCTTTCTAATCAGAAATGGTTATTGGCAAAATATGTGAAAGTTAAACTTAAAAAATCAAATTGAAATTCACATACGTATTCATTAAATATACAAATGGATTGCAGTTTTTTCCCTTTTGAGAAGTTATATCTGAGGTGGAAATATGAAACCCACAGAATACTGTTATAAAATGAGGAAAGCGCAATCACCAAACATAATCGTTTCCTAATATTTTATATATACCCAAGTGATTCAGCACTGATTATATCATTACCTCCTGAAGAAGCTCAAAGGCCAAATAGAGCTATGGTGAGACAGGGGATTTGTTTATCCCAGCGTATTAAGTCTGGCCCTGGCAGATTATGTGGAGGAGACTAATCAACAGGCAGGCCTAGCAGGTATTATGGAGTGCTAAGAGCATGACAAGACACTTAGACGTCCTGGTCATCCACTGCAGCAAGAAAAGTGTCCAGCCCTAACGGTTCTCCATGCACTGGATTAAGGTCTCTTATGCCGAGAGAGTGGGACTTCCCTGCACAATGACTGTTCCACTTAAAACTCCATCATACGCAGATTTCTGTTGTGCAATTCATCTTCATCTACAGATCATCTACAAATCATCTCAGTTCAAACCGAATTTGTTGAGCCCTGCAGCAATGGGGGATTGGCAAAGCAACCACTGGTAGTTGTAGTCACAAACCTGCATGTGGGCAGCCCTTGGACTAGTGGTGGTTCATCTCACTATCTGGGGCAACAGAGATGTCCAGCAGCATCCAGGGCAACTCAGCCCTTCTAGGATAGCACTGCCCACCTTCGCATGAGGGAGGGGATTAGAAAAGGTGCCCTAAACATTGCCTGCCCCACATCTGGCTAGCTAACCATGGCTGGCAGATCATCTCCTTAGCGGTTGAGCATCAAGAAAAACGAATCAAAGAAAACTCATTTTCAGAGCCTGGAACGTCCACACCTTGCTGGATAGAGACAAGGCCTGAAAGACAAACAGCACTCATAACAGCCAAACTTTGCCATTATAGCATTGGCATTGCTGCACTCAGTGAGACCAGGCTGTCAGACAAGGGCTCATTACAGGAAGCAGCGAGTGGATATACGTACTTTTGGAAAGGGAAACCACAGATTGACAACAGGACTCACAGAGGTTTTGCAATCAAAACTGCTCTGCTGAAGAACATCTCTACTCTACCCACTAGAATAAATGAACATATTAAGAAATTCCACTTTCCTGTCAGCAATTCCTAATATATCACCATTGTCAGCACCTGTGCATCATCTCTCATGAGTTCGGACGAAGACAAGGAAGGTTTCTATGAGGACATGGATCAGATTATTCAAACAACCCCCACCAATTACAAATTCATCATTCTGGCCGATTTTAACGCTAGGGCGAGGACAGACAGTGACAACTGGGACAGAGTCTTTGGGAGACAAGGGGTGGGAAAACTAAATAGCAATGGCCTGCTGCTGCTGAGCAAATGTGCCAAGCAAAACCTGTGTATCACTAACACAGTGATCAGACTTGCAAACAAGTACAAACCTACCTGGATGCATCCCAGGTCCAAACAGTGGCACCTACCTGACTATGTCATACTACGGCAGCATAACCTTAAAGATGTCACCATCACCCAAGCCATGTGCTGCACTGCTGGACAGATCACAGGCTGGTCCAGTCAGTCCTCAACTTGGTAAGCAACCAAGGACTGTCAGAAACTTGTTCAACATCAGCAAACTGCAAGACCCAGGCCAAGTCCAATGTTTCCAAGATGTACTTAATGAAAAACTCTTTGGCAATTTACTACTTGTAGGAACATGTTCTGAAAACTGGACACAGTTTAAAGATGTCATCATGCAGACTGCAATAATTGTAGTCAAACTGAAAACCCAGGCACATGAAGACTGGTTTGATGAAAACCACGAGACCATTTCAGCAGCCCTCCAGGCTAAGAACAAGGCCTATGTAGAAGAAGAACGGGCCATCATCTGTCTCAAAGAAAGACAAGTTTAAGCACCTGCAGTCCAAAGTACAGATGG